GTTCGAATGTATGCTAAAGCTGCCATAACTCGTCTCTGCGACCCTAGTTACTGTTGTGATAAACAGAGACCACCCGGCAGTCTATACTGCCGTGCACGAAAGAGTATGCTACTATTGTATATCGTGTTGCAGGTGCATAATGACACCAGCTCTGACTTAGTGGTTCTTCCATCCAGTGTTGAATGTGCAGCATGTAAATGATTTGGTCGACTGTGACAAGCATGTTGTTGAATCATGCACCTTCTCCAGCTATTGTGGCAGAGTCTGTTGTCCCAGGCAGTAATGTAGTTTGGTGATCACTTGTCCATAGCGCGATGTGCTTTCATTGTGTAATATACCCGTGAAGATCCGGGGTAGAATAGGTCTTCAGCAACCCATGCTTGCCGTAAAAGGCGACTATGCTTGTCGTAAGAGGCGACTAACGGGATCGGGTGGTCAGGCTCGCTGACTTGGTTGATGCATGTCATCGATCCCAGTTTGCGTGGATCGATGTTCATGATGTCAATCACTGGATTGTCTGGTCCAGTCTCGATTATTTACAGACCGCCGTCATGTAGCTGGAAAATTACTGAGTGCAGCGTTATACAACAAACAAACAAACAATTATTGTGTAATGACTGCCCAGCAATTAATATTATCTATCCAATACTAACAGCCTGTATGCATGGTCGGCGAGAAATCGGCAACACTTCTCTTGTGAATCACTGAAAATTTATCTCACATTCAGCAATTTAAGAGTCGAGACTGGACCAGAGTGAGTATTGTTTTACGCCGCTTTTGGCAATTTACAGCAAAATCACGGCGGGGGGCATCATAAATTGGCTTCAGACATTGTACCCATGTGGGGAATAGAACCCGGGTCTTCGGCGTGACGCGCGAACGCTTTAACTACTAGGCTACCCCGACGACCCTCTGGACAAGACAATCCAGGAAACGGGAGCATGAACGATCCACAATGGAACGCTTTGAACCAGGTCTCCCCCGTTCCCTGTAATGGTCGACCCCTGGGAACGTGATACCTGGTACTACACATTTTGAAAACAGAAAATGATTGGAATTTGGAGAAGGTAATCCTCTGATGTACTCTTTGTTCACGTCACGTATCATAGATTTGACTTTCTTTGAGAGGGGAGGATTTTGTTGCTCGCAAATTGGCGAATTGGTTTGATGAAAGCCGATTAAATATATTTTATGTATTTACAGTAGATTGTAAAAGATTAATCTCTCTCAGTTATTTGATGATGGATATAAGTAAGCTGTGTAAGTATGACAGAGCTGCCGGCTGTTCGCTGACATGGTTAACCCAATGGCCGGCTGACCACCTGGCGAACACACGAACCATGTGTTACTATAAGGCGAACACACGAACCATGTGTTACTATAAGGCGAACACACGAACCATGTGTTACTATAAGGCGAACACACGAACCATGTGTTACTATAAGGCGAAAACACGAACCATGTGTTACTAAAAGGCGAACACACGAACCATGTGTTACTATAAGGCGAACACACGAACCATGTGTTACTATAAGGCGAACACACGAACCATGTGTTACTATAAGGCGAACACACGAACCATGTGTTACTATAAGGCGAACACACGAACCATGTGTTACTATAAGGCGAACACACGAACCATGTGTTACTATAAGGCGAAAACACGAACCATGTTTTACTATAAGGCGAACACACGAACCATGTTTTACTATAAGGCGAACACACGAACCATGTGTTACTATAAGGCGAACACACGAACCATGTTTTACTATAAGGCGAACACACGAACCATGTTTTACTATAAGGCGAACACACGAACCATGTTTTACTATAAGGCGCACATGCGATCCATGCTGGTCTGGACTGGATGCAGCGTGATCATGATGACTGATCGGTATCAATTAATCATAAAATATGTTCATCATCAGACCATTCAGCGTTTGAAATCGATCAGCCTTGTTTTAGTGGTATGCTCCCTAGTCAACGCCTGTACATATCGACTCGGGACAGGGCCAAGCATCATCCCGCTTCTCGCCATTCACGTTGTAGTTGTTAATGAGCCATGGTGGAGGATGACGTCCATGATATTCCATAACATTGGAAGTCTGTGGTGTACACATTTACCTGCTGGCGGTGAGGCACCAACTGTATTTGAATCAGTTGCAGAAACTGTCTCCCGTCTCAGTCCGACGAGAGTACATGATATCCTGTCTTCTGCACCATAGGAGGACTGTGATGGAATGTTGGGCTGTTTACGACACCGATAACCACACTGTTGTCAAAGTGGTTGCTGGGAGTTATATACGTGACACAAAGGACATCTGGATTTACATATATCCTTATTCGTAAGACATCTGTGACGTGTCCGAGTTCAGGTACGTATAGTCCTGTGATAGTGGACATCGTGTGCATGGTACGGGAAACTGCAAACAGTCCGAACACAAGCAACGCAGTTATGTATCTTCATTTGTCATATAGGTCTAATGGGTAGGTTTCTCGGCAGGATAAAGCCAACGGATAAAAACGATATCCGATGGGGTCATATACGGATAGAGATGCAAATATCATAATTAGGGACTACTTTCAGTGTTTACAAACAAACATGGCGTCGCCCTTATCATTCGGCGATTGAGTCAGAATTAACCATCGGGAACCTGGAGAAACTACTGTGATAATTGATATCATTATATATTACATCTGACGGCACTTCGTAACGTTATGACAGGTAGACTCTAAACAAACGTGACGTCTCATAGACTAGGGTTGGAGTAGCTTTCCTTTGATAAAGGGCAGCTACTCTAGTGGACAGACCGATGGATTGCCGCGAAAGGCAAGTAGAAACAATTCGTGTAGGCAATTGTTGCTTTGCCTATAGGTAGTTACGCCACTGTCTAAGAGACAGGTTTCAGTTGGAACTGATATGACTGTTGTCACTGTCTGAATGACACATCACTTACCCTCTGACGTAATATATAAACTTGCAATGTTTGGGTAATGTTTGTGAGACATGGGAAGAGATTTTTCGAGCACCGAATTGAATAATGACATTATATGATAAAGAGGTCCTCACGCTTGTGTGTTTGGGGATGTTAAATATCTTGTATAAGAATTAAACACGATGCATTTAGCTCGTGAAGGATCGCTAAATACAATGCTTATTCCTAATACAGGATATTTACCATCCCCAGACACACTCGCGTGATAGCCTCTATATATCTCAGTGGGATACACTTAGTATATTGTGGCCGGGAATACGACGTAAATTGTGTTTCTTCACTGAACCAGGTACATATGACATTTTAGGAGAGCTGATACATGTTGGATGATCAAGTGGTACGTGCATACCTTCCAATAGCAGTGCCTTTCTTGATTTAATTGCCCATGGTTTATACCAAGGACACACGGGTCATGTATGTAACACAAAGCTACTTCACAAACACGGAGCAATATGTACTACTCGTGTCTGCATGGGTTTTACAAATATGATATACTCCCGATACTCAAGACTGGCATAGATAACTTAAGGTTTATAGTACCATTTGAAATGTAAATAAATGTAGGTGTAAAATTAAATATGAGCCACCTCCAAGAAGACGGTAGCCGCCACGTGTACCAGCTGACTGAGCGAAGTAGGAACCATGGGTCTAATTACAAGTAACATGAATATCTTATATGACGAGTAAATTGCCTTCCATTGTGTGCGGAGATGATCCTTGTGATAAGTTCCACGTGCTTCTGTATATCATGTTCTCTCTGAACGTCACCCATCATCCACACAACATGGCGCTGATTAGGCGCATTCCGGCTGTTTGTGATTCAGCTAAACAACGTGCATAATTAACCAACCAATTACATATTGCCGGAAACAAACTGGGGAATCCGACTGCTGTTAGAGAGATCAAGAGGAGATATTTCACGACCCATAGTCAGAGGGTCACAGGGTAAAAAAATGTGAAGAACAGGGTGTCCACAACGAAATGATGCCATGTTATCAGGATGAAGGTTCATTGAGGACGCAGATTTCGTTAATTCGCCCATTGTTCCATGCATTCGACACAGCACTTCTACTTGAGATACTGAGGTTAATGATCTGTTCTCACACATGATTTATATATATCCACACCCGTGTCTACTGACACTTCCTTCTTCTGTCTAACCCCGCACCCATGTACCCACCTGTCCCTTCTGTCCACATCCGTGTCTACTGACACTCCATCCTTCTTCTGTCTATCTCCGCAACCATATCCCACCAGTCTGTTGACGAAGTAACTAACAGAAACATGTCCGTATAAAGTGGAATTATAGTGAGCATGTGTGTAAAATGAACACAGTTTGCATTATCTCATCCATATTACAGCGGGCGAATCCAAGAATACATTTTTCACATCAATAAGGGGGGATCCAACTTGAGTCTGGCATGATGTTAACACTGTACTACCCCACCGCCCAAAGTAAAAGACATAACCTGGAAGGCATCTCCTATACATCATATTATGGTATATATTAAGTGGCTATGTTAAATTGCTGACTTGCATATAGCCAGAAAACTACTAGTATTAAAGCATCTTACGTGCTCTTATCCCCCCCCCCCCCCACACACACACACACACACACCCCGCCCGTACACTAACTAAATCAATCCCCCGTGCAGAATAGATGCAAGGCACAAGTTAACAGTCAGTGTATGTCTCTTTTTATGGAAAGGAACTACAATTACGGTAGTCATAAATATCCCAACGTGTCTAATGATCAAGAATTTCTTCTTGTGCTGTGGTTTTTTTAAAAAGAACGTTTTTAATTTGTTTACACAGAGAAATAACACTCTACCTTGTGTATTACCTACCTGCATGTTTGACAGGAAGTTTCAACTAAGGCGCCAGTAACGTCAGTCTTTCCTCCAACGTCCTCAAGACGTTGCCGGGACCGTATAAACACGTCTGTCTTAAGTGATCAATGTTCTAGCAGTAGATGTTAACGACCATGTGTTTTGTCTGTTTCAGGGGATTCTCTTTACAAGATAACAAAGGTAACTGAATAGCTGCATTATCAAACTACTGAGTCTTCAGTCATTCCTGTTCCCCAAGCTGTGTTATTAACATACCCATGTGCTGTGATTCAGCTGTTATAAACCTACCTAAGTGTACTTTGAAGCGCTATATACTCTCTGACAAAAGAAACGCGAATACCATACATGTTGGTTAATAGCCAAAGAATTACTCATATTCAAGAGACATTAGACTGGTTCGATGCAGAAACGAACAAACTGTTCTGTTGCGTGAACCAACGCACATGAACGCATCACATGTGACGTCATCGATCCATGACCTGAGATGCACCATTTGTCTCGTGCAGGATTAGCATGTAAAGTTTGGAAATCACGTGCAGCATATTGTGATAAGAATAAGGACACTGTGGTATCACTTGACTGATTGTTAGTTTTGTCATTGGAAACATCTCTTCTTATCGTACATACTTCTCAGCAATATGCGATAAACGGGATCAGGTGGTCAGGCACGCTGACTTGGTTAATGCATGTCATCGTATTCCAATTGCGTAGATCGATGCTCATGATGTCAATCACTAGATTGTCTTGTCCAGACTCGACTATTTACAGACCGCCGTCATATAGCCGGAATACTACTGAGTGCGGCGTTAAACAACAAACAAACTATATGTTTCTATGATTCGCGTTTCTTTTGACCGTGAGTATACATATGGACATTCGGAAGACATCCGTATCACAACAGAAATGTTCTTTTCAATGATGTCCACACGGTGGTGGAAGACAGTACATATATGCGGACATTGTAACAGCGGTTATGATCCATTGAAGAGTTCATTATATCAGACATGTATAGCAAAAAATACTATTTTCAAGGTTATTAATATTCCTCCCCTTCGCAAGTCTTGCTCCCTGTATAAATGTAATGACTGATGTTTTGCATCCCCCACATATCCGCATGCTATTTAATACCGAAGACTTAATCCACCACAATTAAAGTAGCAAATGATTTGATTCCTTTTGAAAACATCTTTTTCTATATGATAAATCCGATGACGTAAGGTAGTATGTCCCTCACAAAAATAATCAATGGTCCATCTGAGTGTACCGCTTGCTAGGGGATCTAAGAACGCCCGCAGCAAGTTAATACATGAGACGGACAGCTTTTGACACTAAATCGCTCGGGTCTACTGCCTGTCACGTGAAATACCCCACCCCAATATAAAAGGCTTGAGTTCGTCATGTCGTGTCCGTCTGTTTATCATCGGATCCACGTTCACAGACTGCTGTGACGTCACGAGACTTCCTCCCCTACTCTCTATTTACTCTGACAACCATCGCACGTGCAGTATCGTCTGCTCACTTATTGAAATGTTTTGGTTTTGCGACCAGGTGGAGTTTAGGCGATTCAGCGAACAGGTTCGAGATGTGAGCATGAATTTGAAGAACCGATTCCGGTCTTCTGCCTATCAGGTAAGCAATGTTTCATTACCAGTCTTTTGTAGATACTGTCATATCTAAGGACGGGGCATAACAGTGGTCGTGTTGTTAATCAATATATATATCAAACATAGTCTTACATGAAACATGTTCCCACATTTGTCAACCAGAATGTAATGCACACTTCCTACATTATCTTGTATTCCTTTTACAATACGAATGATTACGAACGCTGTCGTTATTCTTGCCTTAGGCAAACAACACAATAAATGCCCTGTTTGTTGAAACATTATCTGCTGAGATAAAACTACAAAGATTGCGACAGCGAATATATCGAGATAAGAGTGTTTACTCTTTGACCCCATTTAACTTGCAACGACATGCATTATATGTGAACGCTATGGAGTGTGTTGGATAAAACCGAGACTGTAGACACCCCTCGTTTGCCTTGTGTAGTAAAAGCGGCTTCGTATAGGGGGTGGGGGAGATTTTAATTGACAAATCATATGGCGGTATATATTGGTCTATTCCATGATACATAATCACTTCTACATTCCATTCTATGAATGTATGTAGCTCAGCGCGACGCTAGAATAATGAGTCCCTTCCCGACTAGAGTTACGTCCCTTTGTCCTGGATTGAGCGTGCAACTGAGCGAAACACACAGTATTATTTTAAGCATGCCCAATGTTTGACATGTCCTACTGGCGGAACAGCCAGCAATATTTCTTTGTGCGAGGTAATAATCATTACTTCATTAAATTATTACGAAAATAAATAATTTTACAATCATATATTTAGTTATTTCAACTGTGCGCATTACATGCAAATCTCGATCTTAACAACCGTCGTGTCACTTCATTCTCGTGTCGTGGTTCCGACGTCCAATGTTTCCGACGTGAGGAGCGACTTAGACGTTAAATTCTAACTCACTCACTCACTCACAACAAGGGGCTTGAGCTTTTGATCGAGTCAGTTTATTGTGCAATAGGTACGTGAATAGGATCGAGCGACATAAATATACCTGGTAACCATAAAAAAGGGAATTGGAATATTTTCGTTTTTGTATTAATTTATTGGTGTACTTTATTCATGAAAAAGCTTATGATAACAAAAAGTGCCAGATAGTCGTAGAAGTTGCGTATGTTTGAAAACCATCACAAATTAAGACATTTGTGGTTCCCTTTTGTACATGTCGACAGGGCTACATCCGAGCAAGTTGGGTTGGTTACAGGGGTACATGTGCACTGGTCGTACTACATACGTGTAGGCGTCTGGACACTTTGCAGGCCGAGTCATGTGACTACGGCTAATTTCTCAGACGAGTATTGGATTTCAAGAATTAAAACTCCCTAGGGACGACGGGAATAGAAAGTCGATACATTGGCAGTTTGTTAAGCCGAGTACTTCGCTATCCCATGCTATGGGCTACTTAGCGTTGATTAAAACCCGGTCTAATTCTTTGAAAACAACGTTTAAGGTGAAGGATGTATATTTGAAGATTTTGTAAAATACATTAATGTCGTATTCCTCAAAAGGTTGGCAAATGATTAAAATAATATGTTGTGCCTTTGGGTAATTTCACAATCGTAGGCTCTTTGATGGTATTATTTATTCATTGAGACAATGACCGCGTGACGTCGACTCTCGCGCAGCACGTGAGAAAGAATACGTCCCGAATAGTGTCAGCTTGGTACAGTAAAGGCATGGTGAGGCAGGGGGAGATGGTGACCGGGCATTATACAGGGAGGCAGGGGGAGATGGTGACCGGGCATTATACAGGGAGGCAGGGGGAGATGGTGACCGGGCATTATACAGGGAGGCAGAGGGAGATGGTGACCTGGCATTATACAGGGAGGCAGGGGGAGATGGTGACCTGGCATTATACAGGGAGGCAGGGGGAGATGGTGACCTGGCATTATACAATGAGGCAGAGGGAGATGGTGACCTGGCATTATACAGGGAGGCAGGGGGAGATGGTGACCTGGCATTATACAATGAGGCAGAGGGAGATGGTGACCGGGCATTATACAATGAGGCAGAGGGAGATGGTGACCGGGCATTATACAATGAGGCAGGGGGAGATGGTGACCGGGCATTATACAGTGAGGCAGGGGGAGATGGTGACCGGGCATTATACAATTAGGCAGAGGGAGATGGTGACCGGGCATTATACAGTGAGGCAGGGGGAGATGGTGACCGGGCATTATATAGTGAGGCAGGGGGAGATGGTGACCTGGCATTATACAGTGAGGCAGGGGGAGATGGTGACCTGGCATTATACAATGAGGCAGGGGGAGATGGTGACCTGGCATTATACAGTGAGACAGAGGGAGATGGTGACCGGGCATTATACAATGAGGCAGAGGGAGATGGTGACCGGGCATTATACAATGAGGCAGAGGGAGATGGTGACCGGGCATTATACAATGAGGCAGGGGGAGATGGTGACCGGGCATTATATAGTGAGGCAGGGGGAGATGGTGACCGGGCATTATATAGTGAGGCAGAGGGAGATGGTGACCGGGCATTATACAGTGAGGCAGGGGGAGATGGTGACCGGGCATTATATAGTGAGGCAGGGGGAGATGGTGACCTGGCATTATACAATGAGGCAGGGGGAGATGGTGACCTGGCATTATACAGTGAGACAGAGGGAGATGGTGACCGGGCATTATACAATGAGGCAGAGGGAGATGGTGACCGGGCATTATACAATGAGGCAGAGGGAGATGGTGACCGGGCATTATACAGAGAGGCAGAGGGAGATGGTGACCGGGCATTATACAGTGAAGCAGGGGGAGATGGTGACCGGGCATTATACAGTGAAGCAGAGGGAGATGGTGACCGGGCATTATACAGTGAAGCAGGGGGAGATGGTGACCGGGCATTATACAGTGAAGCAGGGGGAGATGGTGACCTGGCATTATACAGTGAAGCAGGGGGAGATGGTGACCGGGCATTATACAGTGAAGCAGGGGGAGATGGTGACCGGGCATTATACAGTGAAGCAGAGGGAGATGGTGACCGGGCATTATACAGTGAAGCAGGGGGAGATGGTGACCTGGCATTATACAGTGAAGCAGGGGGAGATGGTGACCGGGCATTATACAGTGAAGCAGGGGGAGATGGTGACCGGGCATTATACAGGGAGGCAGGGGGAGATGGTGACCGGGCATTATACAGTGAAGCAGGGGGAGATGGTGACCGGGCATTATACAGTGAAGCAGGGGGAGATGGTGACCGGGCATTATACAGTGAGGCAGGGGGAGATGGTGACCGGGCATTATATAGTGAGGCAGGGGGAGATGGTGACCTGGCATTATACAATGAGGCAGGGGGAGATGGTGACCTGGCATTATACAGTGAGACAGAGGGAGATGGTGACCGGGCATTATACAATGAGGCAGAGGGAGATGGTGACCGGGCATTATACAATGAGGCAGAGGGAGATGGTGACCGGGCATTATACAGAGAGGCAGAGGGAGATGGTGACCGGGCATTATACAGTGAAGCAGGGGGAGATGGTGACCGGGCATTATACAGTGAAGCAGAGGGAGATGGTGACCGGGCATTATACAGTGAAGCAGGGGGAGATGGTGACCGGGCATTATACAGTGAAGCAGGGGGAGATGGTGACCTGGCATTATACAGTGAAGCAGGGGGAGATGGTGACCGGGCATTATACAGTGAAGCAGAGGGAGATGGTGACCGGGCATTATACAGTGAAGCAGGGGGAGATGGTGACCGGGCATTATACAGTGAAGCAGGGGGAGATGGTGACCTGGCATTATACAGTGAAGCAGGGGGAGATGGTGACCGGGCATTATACAGTGAAGCAGGGGGAGATGGTGACCGGGCATTATACAGTGAAGCAGAGGGAGATGGTGACCGGGCATTATACAGTGAAGCAGGGGGAGATGGTGACCTGGCATTATACAGTGAAGCAGGGGGAGATGGTGACCGGGCATTATACAGTGAAGCAGGGGGAGATGGTGACCGGGCATTATACAGGGAGGCAGGGGGAGATGGTGACCGGGCATTATACAGTGAAGCAGGGGGAGATGGTGACCGGGCATTATACAGTGAAGCAGGGGGAGATGGTGACCGGGCATTATACAGTGAGGCAGGGGGAGATGGTGACCGGGCATTATATAGTGAGGCAGGGGGAGATGGTGACCTGGCATTATACAATGAGGCAGGGGGAGATGGTGACCTGGCATTATACAGTGAGACAGAGGGAGATGGTGACCGGGCATTATACAATGAGGCAGAGGGAGATGGTGACCGGGCATTATACAATGAGGCAGAGGGAGATGGTGACCGGGCATTATACAGAGAGGCAGAGGGAGATGGTGACCGGGCATTATACAGTGAAGCAGGGGGAGATGGTGACCGGGCATTATACAGTGAAGCAGAGGGAGATGGTGACCGGGCATTATACAGTGAAGCAGGGGGAGATGGTGACCGGGCATTATACAGTGAAGCAGGGGGAGATGGTGACCTGGCATTATACAGTGAAGCAGGGGGAGATGGTGACCGGGCATTATACAGTGAAGCAGGGGGAGATGGTGACCGGGCATTATACAGTGAAGCAGAGGGAGATGGTGACCGGGCATTATACAGTGAAGCAGGGGGAGATGGTGACCTGGCATTATACAGTGAAGCAGGGGGAGATGGTGACCGGGCATTATACAGTGAAGCAGGGGGAGATGGTGACCGGGCATTATACAGGGAGGCAGGGGGAGATGGTGACCGGGCATTATACAGTGAAGCAGGGGGAGATGGTGACCGGGCATTATACAGTGAAGCAGGGGGAGATGGTGACCGGGCATTATACAGTGAAGCAGGGGGAGATGGTGACCGGGCATTATACAGTGAAGCAGGGGGAGATGGTGACCGGGCATTATACAGTGAAGCAGAGGGAGATGGTGACCGGGCATTATACAGTGAAGCAGGGGGAGATGGTGACCTGGCATTATACAGTGAAGCAGGGGGAGATGGTGACCGGGCATTATACAGTGAAGCAGGGG